CCCCACCCGCACCCCCTGCCGCCCCAACCCTGGGCTCTCCCCCCCCACCCGCACCTTCTGCCACCCCAACCCTGGGCTCTCCCCACCCCACCCCACCCTACCTGCACTGCCTGCCCCCTCAGCGCTGGGCTTCCCCCCACCAGTGCTGACTCCGCCCACTCCCCCCTCATCTCCAGCCGGTCCAGCGCTGGCAGGGTCGGGGTAAGCAGCGGGGCTCCCGGGTCCCTCCAGCCGGGGCTCCCACCTCCAGGACCGGCCGGGACCGGGGAGGACAGAGCTGGGGGACCGCCCCGCCAGGGGGCTGAGAAGCCAGGGCAGGGCAGCCCCAGAGGGAGTGGAGCCCCGGAGAGCGGGATGCGGGACCCGCACAGCAGCGCCCCGCCCTCTATGGCCCTGTCGCTTCTGGCCACCCTGCCACAGTCCCTGGGTGGCTCGGCCCACTTCGCCCAGCCCCGGCTGCGGCGCTGGGGGGCAGCCGCCCTGCGGCACCTGCAGGCGGCTCCGTGTGCCCCGAGGGGTGGCCCCCAGCCCGAGTGTCCCCCGCTCGGAGCCCACCCAGCCATAAGGTGTGGGTGCTGCTCCCCGACGCGAACCGCAGCGGCCCCAGGGCGCCCCCGGTGCAGGATGCGCTGCTGCTACCAGGGCCGGCTCTAGGCTTTTGCCGCCAAAGCGCAAAATAAAAAAAAAAAAAGAGGCTGGCTGGAATGCCGCCCCTGAAAATGTGCCGCCCCAAGCACCTGCTTGGTTTGCTGGTGCCTGGAGCCAGCTCTGGTTTTGACACTTGCTCTTCCCTAGTCTTGGTCCACGAGAGCCTGAACCTTCTAAGTACACTGCAAAACCATCTTTTCCCAGAGGCTTTTTGGAGCGAAGAGAGAGAGAGACATCCACTTGGCAACAAATATTGATATTAAAGGGGTGAGAATGGCAGACAACCATTTGGGGTACAGGACAAACCAATGTTGAAAATGTACAGCGCAACAGCATACAGACAAAGGAGGAAAGAGGCCAAGGTGGAAGATAAAAGATAGGAGAAAGCAGTGGGGGAAAGGAGATGAGGTAAAATTGAAAGAGAATTTTAAAAACAGTAGACATGAGAAAATGGTGTTGGAGTGGACAGGATTGGTGAGACAGGGAAAGAGAAGTATGAGGAGATGGAGGAAGGAAATAATCTAGAAAAGATTCAGTGCTGAGTGCAATTGGTGAAAACCTAGTTCCATTGAAGTCAATGGGAGTTTTGTCCTGGATGTGGCCAGGATTTCACCCACTGAACTAGCAGAGTCAAGTAAGGGGTAAGATGAAAATAGAGAAAAATAGGACAGAAGGAGATGCAAATTACAAG